CTGTATTTCTTCCCCACTATAGATTAGTTTTCCCAGTCTAACCAGAAGTAACTTAGAGCAGAATGGAACTATTCATTGGCTTAGTAGACCAACCCATCCAATATTGCTGCCTGTTGCCATGTGGAGCCTTGTGGAGTTGACATACATTTAGCCTTTGAAGAAAAGGCATATAATTGTATCAGTGTGCCATGAAATCCATTTAAATCTGGCAATGTGCTGCAATGGTTTATAAATTCACAGTGGTAGTTGTTAAGAAGAGAGTCACAAATGGAATGTCAGGAAAAATGAGGATCACTTGCTGGCAACCGACTATTCAGTTGCCAAAAATTAAACAGTTTGAGTGTCATTCTTGTATCAGTGCTACTGCTTAGAAACTAGCAGTTAATTTTTATACCCCCTGCCATCACCAGCTCTGTTCTCCTGAAACAGACGGACTTGGATTCCAATGCACAGAGAGATGACTTCATGAAAAACACTATTTCTCTAAAGGGAGGTATATAAAAAGGAAACGGAAATGCTTCTTTCTTAGATTATAGGATTTTAAACACCACCAATGGGGAATGTGATCAAGGAGTTAAAACAGAGTATTAGTATTTATCTAAGTAAAACTGCCCAATATATTCATAAATAACATCATTGTGTTTTAAAATTAAAAACAGTGGTGCAGTCTGTGTGCATCCAAACATAGATCATTTTACTTATCTGACACGGACAAATCGGGTGATTGTTATTCAGTTAGGTATTATTAAGTGAGTTTAATAGTTGGAGAGGTTTATGTAAATCTCCCAGACTTTAAAGAGTGACTATTTTGTTTTAAAATAGAATTCATAGTACAAAGCGTATGGAGTACCAAAGGAACAATTTTTAACATCACTATTTTTCCTTAATGCTAATTCCCACTCAGCTTGTCTAGCTTTCTCAAGTATGCAAATCACATTCTCCCAAAATTTTCCTTCAGAAATAATTTATTGTCTAAAATCACCTCAACTTCTCTCCCTCTGCACACTCTCTGAACTCTATTTCTTTAATTTTCTCTTTCAAAATACCTTCTCTTTTCCAATTCTCTCAACGTGGTTTACTTTATTTCTTCCTAAGGAATCTCTTGATGGTAGCAATTACTGGCAAATGAATAATATATGGAGTAAAATGTGATTACCTCAAATGCTAGTCTTATTTTATTACAAACCAGCAACTTAAATGATATCGAAATGGGCCATTTTCTTATTTCTAGATGTGAAGAAAGTGCATCTTTATTTGGAATTTTAATGAGAAAATGAGTTAGCTATTTTATTATCTAATTTTGAGCACACATGAAAATTAAATTAGGTACTTTCTTGGTACAGTGAAATTGTATTTCACATTATATACCTGCAGAAATGGAGTTGTTCATTGAACTTACATATAAACATTGTTCTGTAGAATTTTTAGTAATCTTAATGGCAATCCATGATGATGAATGAATGCTCGTGGTGAACTGAGAAGCAGGATGGGCTCATTAATCAACTCAGTACAGTACCTGTCACAAGGAACTTTGGAGTTATCTATTTCCTCCTCATATCTGAAAAGGCTTAGTTGCCAGATGACTATTGATGAAGTGTCATAGTGAAAAAAGATCTGAAAATGGAGTATACCTTCTTTCATATAATGTTCTTGAATATAAAAGAAGAATAATGTTTGGCACTACATTGATTCTCTTAGATAACAGCAGCAGACAAGTAGTTTACATGAAATTAGAACAAAGGTATGAAATGAATTCGATATTCATTATATCATTGTTAGACTAAGTATAGCATAGGCATCACATTATATGTTGATAAGCCACAAATATGAGTATTACCAAAAAATGGGTCCTATTTTTTGTCTTTAAATCATTAGCTCTAATCAGAATTTAAGCTTCACAGTCTAACAATATCACTCTCTACCCCATGCTTCAACCCAAAATCACTAGTTTCACCTTGATTGTGCTCTTTTACTTACAACTCGTTTCTATCCTATGAGCAAGTCACGTAGATCCACCTGCAGTGCGTGCCAGTGCACTTGTTACCATTCTGACCATTTTCCATAATCCAGGTTCCTTGGATTTCTTGGCAAGATAATGATAATAGTCATTTTACTAACTGTCTTTCTTCCCTTTTTGCTTTCTGTTTCTATTGTCAGAAGCATGGCATGAACCATGACCTAAAAATAATGCCTAAAAATAAAATTAAACCATGCCTAGACACTAAAACCAAACCAAACCAAAACAAAAACAAACAAAAAAACATTAACCTTCCTCCCTTTGTCAAAATCTTTAGAATCCTCATAAGCACCAGCTCCTGTTAACCGTAAATATTCAATCCTCAAGTTAGACACGATCGGCATTACTTATCATGTTGCAACATTATTGCAGTACTTTTCGTTCCTTAAGGATGGGAAGTTTTTCCCTTCTTCAGGTTTTTACGTAACTATTCTCCACTTAGAATATACTTGTGCTTTACTTTCACAAGACAAATCCTTCTTGCTATTTGTATCTTTGGTTTCAGTATCAATTTTTTTCCTGACATCTCAAACTCAGCTAGTGACCTTGATAATCTCTATCTCATTTCTCTATTTTAACTTCCTACATAACACCTACTGCTTATCTGGCATTTTCTTAAGTATTTATTTATTTTATTTCTATTGACTCACTCCTCAAGCTCCATTAGAGCATGAAATTTAACTGTCTTTTTCTTCCTGCTATCCTCAAGGTATATAATAGTAATTGGTCCATATGGGCATTCTAGAAGTACTTACCAAATTGATTGATGAATGATATATTAGCAGCTGCTTAAATACAATAACTCTGGCAAAGTATGAACTAGTCAGAAAACAATTTGAAAAAATAGTAAACATGTTGGATGTACATGCAAGCCTAGTGTTTCAGAAATTAAAATCCTTCTGTGTTTCATGTTTGGACTGTGTTGGAATATTTGTAGGGTTAACTTGCCCTTTTAGATTGTAAAAATTAAAAATATTTAAAAGACTATTAAAATACATCCATATAGTATAATTTAAAGATTTTATGCTGCATCCAATGATTTAATGGCTTTACATATATTAACTGATTTAATTTATAATACCCTAATAAAGTTTATTTTATAGATGTAGAAACTAATTTCTGAACTTTTAAATGAATATCTTAGGTCTGCATGACTAATAAATAGCAGGCCTGGGTATGTAGCCTGGCAGTGTGACTTACTTGTGCTCATAAAATCTAAATCACGCTGCCTCTTAAGCTTGAAACCATTCTAACAACATCCACCAATCATCTCTTGAAAGCTCCTTGTCTAAGGAAAAGTATTCCATATTTTAGACTGAAAGACAAAATCACATTCACATTCTTATATTCCAGAGACAGCTTTTTTTTTTCTTAATGGAATAGCAGAAAAGTTAACAATCAGTGGAATATCGATTATAATAAGCATGAAAAATGTTAAACAAGTTACAGGGCTATGTAAACACGTTAAAACACATACAAATACAAGTAGAATATGCTGTGGAGGGACATTTATTAGCCACAGAAATGCAGAAGAGCATATGTTTAAGCTAAATTCAGGAGGTGCAGCTACATAGGATAAGAACAGGCATGCTTCAGGAAGAGCAGTATAGCAGGTAAGTAGTAAACTCGGTGTTCAGCGTGTGCGATTTTGAATTACAGGTGTACACTGAGGAATACACATTCTTAACAAGACATATTCTTGCTATTATTATCACACATTCTGATGTGAGCATTCTTCTAATTCCTGTATTCATGGCATTTTAGTCAGAAAAATAACGAAGCCAATCACAGATAAATTCAAGAGCAGGATATGAAAAAGACTTACATAAGGAATTCTAAAATACTTTAAAGCACTTCAATAATACATTTAACTTTAAAACCCTACTAAGTAGAAAAATATTACTTTTTAAAACATTTCTTACATTTAACTGTTAAATTTAACATAAAGATATTTAAATTAAAGTCAGTGTTACTAAGTAATCCCAATAAGCAAAATGTAAACTATTTTCTTAGTGAATATAACTAATATTGTAAGAATAAATATCAAAATAATCATAATCAGCTTTGTTTTTAAAATTTTATTCCGTGGTATCATTGCACTCATATTTTGTAAGATCATTTCTTAAATTGGCTTTGTGTGCAGCTGTATGTCGATGTATATTTGCTCACGGGTTTTTATTTTCCCTCATTGGAAGCTTTTGCAGTCAGAACAGAAACAGACTATGAACAGATTGTACTCTAGACAAGTCTATGCTTACTTTTATTTAGGGCCCTATCATCACAGAAAGACGCTTGGTGCTATACTAATCAAATAGGAGCAAAATAAGGACAATATTGAAATAAGTTCTGTGCAACAAATTTCAAGAAAGTATTAGAATGGTACAGCCTAGTGTAACAAAAACCTGTAAAAGAGTTAATTTCCTATTTTGTGTTAGCTTATTAAAGAAGAAAATGGAGCGGTTCATCTCTTCACTACTTATTGGTTCATTTATTTCCAAGAGACGAGGATCTATCTCATGATTAATTACTCAAATTTTCAGCAAATGTGGTTGATGCTAAAGAACATCCCATCAGAAAGTTGCAAAAAATTTAAAGACATTTATCAAAGTTTCCATTTTCAGTCTAGAGAAACAATAAAGTAGATATTGACTTCTCTTGAGGAATGGATCATGATTTATTGATCCAAAGGGAGAAGTAATATTTACCTTTAGTGAAAATAATTCTTAATGGCCAGTGAAATGAAAAATTTAATACATAGCTACAATCAAATATCTCTTGCAACAATGACACTGTTTAAATTGCATTTATGTTTTCAGTTTATAAAAAATATTTGTGTTTTTTAGGAAACTTAGCAATACATGGAACATTAAAAATGAAAAAATGCCAATAATTTCCCATTCAAAGGAAAACTATTATTATTTTGTTTTGTTTCATGTCAGTAAATTTTCCTATAAAAATAATTGAGTCAATTTATATGGGAATTCTAAATATACAATGCTTCACGAATTTGCGTGTCATTCTTATGCAGGAGCTGTGCTAATCTCTGTATCACTTTTTTTTTTATTATATGTGCTACTGAAGGAGTACAAGAATTCTGGTTTAAATCATAATAAAAAATAAAGTATATAATTTGTATTAACATTCCAAAATGTACATTTCTGCTTTCTACAAAGGATTACACATCTGTTGACATGTGATGTGCTATGTCATATAATCTATCTCTCTCTGTATATATATAGAGTGTACACCTATGTCCCACTGACATTGAGTGTCCCTGAAAATATACATATATATATTATACTATATACTACTGCATATATCTACCACAATCTGTAAGGTGTTTAAGAAATTAATGTTTGTCAGTCTAAGCCAGGGAGTATGAAGCTATTAGGCCACGTTATTATTACAAAGTAAGAAATATTCTGAAATATATTAACAGATAAATTGTTCTATCAGAAATTGTAAGATGAAATTTTACCCCATATCCAAACTAACAGGTTATCCGATATACACATAGATAGATAGATAGATAGATAGATAGATAGATAGTGATAGATATGTATGTTATATATATATATATGTATATATATATGATATATGTATATGGCATATATCAGATATATGAATATATGTATATGTCATATATGTTATATATACACATACATGACAGAGACAGACACAGATATATTGAGAGAGAGAGAGAGAGAACATATCTCCATGAATAAAGATAAAGATAAAGAGTGCTTATTTCAACTGGAGCCAGAATAATTAGTTTCTCAGATTCCATTCCCTACAAGATGATGTAGTAATAGCCAGGTGAGTATAGAAAGATGCATTCAACAAGGTACATTCAATTTTGGAAATTTTGATTTATTATAGGGCTAGTGAATATCTGTTCTACCTCTGCTCTTTACTTTTCTTCTGGATTAAAAGTAATTTTTTTGATGGGAGAGGAAGAAGATATACAATCATGGAAGATTACCAAGGTGTAGGACGTACTCTACCTTTATCACATTAGCCAAGAAATGAATCTGCCCTCTGATGCAGGGAGAATAGTACCTGTGCAAAAGATGTTCAGTTCCCTTGGTTCTGAGTACTCAGACTATGCAGAAATATAAGATATTTAAAAATAATTTTATCTGACAACATATATACACCTGCATCTATATATTTATACATAAATAGTTCATATGAATATGTATATTTGGATCTACATATTCTATATGCATATCCTAATTTTTACAAAATTAAAATCATACTGTTAACTTTGCTTATATACATACTCTGTCACTGAACAAGAGATAACGTATCTCTTACATACCTGTATGTTTTCTTTGAAAATAAAACAATGATTGCTCATCATCTTATAGTGCGATGAAACCATAAAATAAAATTGGTACATCTCTACTATTGAATATGTAGATTCTTGGCCAATATTTAATGATGTATAATGCTGTATAAACTTGTATTTTATGCCATAGGTCCTGACAGTTTATTGATCTTGGAGGTTTGATTTATGATTAGAAATCAGATAGGGTTTTCCTCAAATTAATGTTGCTATAACATTTCATTCATCTATTCAAATGATAAATATATTTCTCATAAGCATTCAGTTAATACGTAATAAGTTATTTTGTTGGACAAAACCAACTAAACATTATTTGGATTTCTATTTCACTAAGTTTTACTATAAAACATATATACTCCTTCAACTGATGACAATTATTGTCTCACTTCTGATTAGGACCTAGTGGGCTATAAGTCGGTGAAAAATAAGTTTCTCAATTTGATATATATTATGGCATTGAAAAAACACCAGTGGTAAATTATGCTTGCCCCTAAGAAAAGGAAAATAGTGATAGAAATGTCTATTTGAGCCATGGTTTAAAATGTTCATTATCTACATCAATATTTCTCCAATATCTAGAGACTCATGAGAGCTTAGCAGCAATCAAGTGGTTACCAGCCACATATGTCTGGAGCAGGACAGCCAGGTAAATACAGGGTGCCTGACAAAATCAAAGTTTCATGAAAAAAAATTAAATATAAGTATTATGAAATACTTCATGAGTCATCCTTATGCTAAAAAAATATTTGTTATTTACCTGGAACTCAAACTCAAAATCAACTAGACCACCTTTATTTTTACTTGAGTAATAATGAACAAGAAAATGTAGATGCTGAAAACCAACCATAAGTGGCTTAAAAATAGAAGATTTTATAAGATTGTAGTTTTGGGACTTTTAAATTTGCAATAGTAAAATAGCTACTTTTTTTCTTATTTGTGCTCCTGGTATTGATTGATTGATAGATATTTTGGTAAAAATGTTCTCAATGAGCCTAAGGTGAGTTAGCAATTTTCTTAATCATATCAAAGAACTAGCTTTTTGTTTCAGAGACTGTTCTCTGTTGCTTTTTTATTTTATCTTTCATTGATTTCCACTTTGATCTAATTATTTTTTCTTAATTTTATTACTTCTTTTTCTAGTATCTTAAATGAAAATGATTTAAAAAAAATCTACCCAATGCTTTTATTATTTTCTGATATAGGCAGCAAATACAGGTAAGATTTCCATAAGTATCTATCTTATGAATACTGTGTTTATATTTTCATTCAGCTCAAAATAGTTTTTAATTTATCTTTTGGTTTTTTATTTAATCCATAAATTAATTAAACATTTTTTATTTAGTTCAGATACCCTGGATTTTCACAGCTTTCTCTTACTATATTCTGTTTTAATTTTATTGAAAATAAAAGCCAATATTTTTATGACTTGAATTCTTTTAATTTTATTAAGACTATCCTATACCTAAAATACCCTTTTGGTGTCTATTATATAAATGCATACTTAAAAATCAATGTTTATTTTGCAATTGTTAGACTGAATGCTCTGTATTAACTAAATAAATTCTAAATATTTCAGGTTATACATAAATTTAAATTTACACAAAGATTAACTTAAAAAGCAAATAATCTGATAGAAAAATGGACAAGTTGAATGAGTGGTTATTTTACCAAACAAAGCATCAAATAACAAAGATATGAAAAGCCATGAAAATTTCTTTGTAAATGGAGAAACACAAGACCACAATCCAGTGGGATTTACTCTCTATTAGCAAAGCCTAAAGCCAAAGTTACACAAGTTAGAGGATGTTACTCAATGAGGCCATTAGAATACTTACCCTTTAGATTGGAGCATAGTAGTTCAATCACTAACGAACAGATTTTGCTTTTCTTTTCAGTGATTATATTTTGTTACCCTATACCTAGCATGAATATCACCACCTCAGTCATTATTTATTGGAAAATATTATTAAATGTTTCCCTGGTGTTGTACAATCATCATTACTGTTCCTCTCTGCAATTCTTTTCCTCTTGTAAATTTGAAGCTCTACGGTGCTATATTTTAAACCTGAAAATACACGTTTCGTTTTTCAGAATGTCCACATTCAGTTATATACTGGAGAGTTTTTCTGCTTCTGTGGAAGCATATTAGGAGATTACAGCACCATTCTCAGGAGAAATAACCTGGAAAACACACAAGTGCATTCTTATAAGAAAACTGAGAGATTAATGGTCCTGCAAGACTAATATGAAATTACTTAAAGACATAGACACATCCTAAATGCATAGTAAATGCAAAAGAAGAAAAAAGAGACAGAAGTGAAAAAAGGAAAAAGAAGCAAGTCATGAATAAGTAAAATATTATTCATATTTATAGAACTCATGTTCATACACAGAAGCAATACTTTAAAAATACCCGTGTTTTATATATAATAAAAAAAGAATTCAGAGAGGAAGTAACTGTAGCAGAAGAAGGATAATAGAGGTGTGAGCACACAGATTAGTAGATTAGTAGATTGTATTACTTTGCTTTATAAATTTATAAGTAATGCAATTGCCTCATTCACATTTTTTGCATAATAATTTTTATGAAATCCAGAATATATATTTAATGGATTAAATATTACAATTCAAGATGATGAAGAAAATACAATAAACATTAAAATATTAACCTACCATGATGAATATTTATTTATAGTTTTTAATCATATTTTTGGTTATTTCCTCAGGATGAAAAACTTTAATAATGGCTTAGTAGATTTGCATACTTCATTATTTTTTTATGTATGTTGTAAATACTTATTCAATAGTACTTTCAATATTTTTACCTGAAATATGATTCATACATCAAAACTACCTCTATGCTTTTAGCAACATATTTTGCTAATTTAATTACTAATCCTTATATTCTAATGTAAATTCTTTATTCCTTTACCTGTTAATGAGTAATCATTTTCTATTTATAGTAAGAATTTGTTTCAATTCCTTAACTATTTCCATGGAAATTTTACAATTCAAAATAAATCTTAAGCTCATCGTCATTGCAAACAATATCCCCATTATTGATCATTACTTTTTATATAAGTATAGAGATTTGTAAAGATCAAATTCTTATATTTAATGTATTCCACCAAAAAATACCTGCATCAAAGCGACTTCTAGTGTTTTAAGAAATCTCCATATTGCTATCCATAATGATTGTACTGGTTCACATTCCCATGAACAAGGTAGGAGGGATCCTTTTCACCTCAGTCATGCCAGCATTTGTTATTGTTTTATTTCTTAATGATTGCCAGCAATTCTAGTGCAAGTTGAAACCTTAGCATTGTTTTAATTTGCATTTCTCTGATGGCCAGAAAGCTGAACATTTTTTCATATGTCTGTTGGTCATTTGTACGGCTGAGAAATTTCTATTCATTTCATATGCTCATTTCTTTTACTTTGAGTAGACCGGTTTCTTTGAGGTTTTTAGCATATTCTAGATCTTAGTCCTCTGAAAAATAATGGGCCAAACCTTTTCCCATTCTGTAAGTTATCTCTTTATTGTACCAATTGTTTTCTTTGCAGAAGCTTTTCCCTTTGATATAATCTCTTGAATCTTGCTGTTTTTTTTCTTGTGTAATTGCTGCTCTGTTCAGAATGTCCTTGCCTACAGTTCATTGTTACTGTATTTACTTTGCTCCAGTTTGATTTTAGTTTTCTTGTTGACTGCTCCAGTAAGGTATTTAAGCCTTTATACTTA